ACAGTTATGGTATAGATCGCAAAAGGAGGGTGGATTAGCACTACCTAATATAAAAAAATATTATGAAGCAAGTAGATTAAGTTTGGTTATAGAAGGAATGGTTAAAAAAGAGGGAATAGATTGGCTTAGTAATGATTCAGGAAAAGTGGAAGATGAAACTTGGAATATAGTTTTTAAACAGCTTACCAGAAAAGAACTGAGGGAAATTAGAAACCCAATGTTGAGTAACGTTCTGAAAGTATGGAATAAATATAAGGGGAGGTTAATAAAGGAGGGATCAATTATAACCCCAATAGTGATGGAAAAGAAATTCCCAAAAAATTTTAAAAAAGTAATGGATAAAAAGGTAAGGGAAATAAATCTAGATAGGATAGGGGATTGGATGAAGGTGGAAATGAAGAGGGAAATGATGTTGGAAGAGTTTAAAGAAATAAAATTGTCATGGTTTCATTGTATACAATTAGAACAATGGTTAATGAACTGGAAAAAAAATAATAGAAATGGAAGCCAACTCAATCAATTCGAACAAATAATACAGAAGGGAAGGGCTGTAGAAGAACATGAAAACTTGAGAGGTATAATTAGCAAAATTTATAAGATATTAATTGAAATGAAGGATGAAAAAATAAAAAAGTGTACCCTTAAGGAGATTTGGGAAGAGAATTTAGGGATAAAAATAAGTGAAATAGAGTGGCAGCAATTATGGGGACAAAGACATTTAAAAAATTTATCGATACGAGTTAAAGAAAATTATTATAAGTTAATATGGAAGTGGTACTTGACACCGGTAAGAATAGCATATATGAATAAAAATAACTCAATAAATTGTTGGAGAGGGTGTCAAGAACCAGGAACATATATACACATGTGGTGGCAATGTAAATATGTAAATAATTTTTGGGAGAAAGTATTTAGAGAAATAGAAACAATAATGAATATGAAAATAGATAAAAGTCCTAGTATAGCCTTACTATCATTATATAACAATAAGCAACTGAAAAAGGAGGATAAAGAAGCGATAACAAACTTACTAACTATAGCAAGACTTCTTATAGCAAGGAATTGGAAAAAAGAAATGAATATACAAATAGAGGAGTGGTATAAAGAAGCATGGAAAATAGCAATAAATGATAAATTGACATGTATATTAAAGGTTAAAAAAGGTATATGGAAACAAAGCGATTTTGATGCTGTATGGGGAAGATTTGTGGTAAATGGATTAAAAAATAAGGAAGGAAAATTACCGTCACAAGAAGAAATGAAATTTTGGACAGATGAAATGTAAGAATGGTGGCTTGAGACGGGTGGAGGGGAGCACTGTGGTGGAAAAAAGGAAAAAAAGAGAAAAAGGGGGGGAAATGTCAAAGCAAAACAACAAAACAACATGTTAAAGAGGCTGATGTACAAAATGCAATAGTGTGTAATAAATGTGATAAATCAATAAAAATTAATAAAAAATAAAAATAATAATAATAAAAAAACTACACCCAAGAGTATTGAAGGAACTAGCGGAAGTCATTTCGGAACTATTGGCAACCATCTTTGAGAGTTCTTGGAGAACAGGAGAAGTTCCAGCAGATTGGAGGAGGGCCAATGTGGTCCCAATCTTCAAGAAGGGAAAAAAGGATGACCCAAACAACTGTCCGGTCAGCCTCACGTCGATACCAGGCAAGATTCTGGAAAAGATTGTTAAGGAAGTGGTCTGCAAACACTTAGAAACAAATGCGGTCATCGCTAATAGTCAACATGGATTTATCAAAAACTAGTCATCTGATCTCTTTTTTTGATAGAGTTACAAGCTGGGTAGATGCGGGGAATGCTGTGGGTGGAGCATACCTGGATTTCAGGAAGGCCTTCAACAAGGTCCCCCATGACCTCCTGGCAAGGAAACTAGTCCAATGTGGGCTAGGCAAAACTATGGTTAGGTGGATCTGTAATTGGTTAAGTGATTCTCTCCAAAGCTTCCTCTTCATCCTGGAAAGAAGTGACGAGCGGAGTGCCACAGGGTTCCGTCCTGGGCCCGGTCCTGTTCAACATCTTTATTAATGACTTAGATGAAGGGTTAGAAGGCAGGATCATCAAGTTTGCAGACAACACCAAATTGGGAGGGATAGCCAATACTCCAGAGGACAGGAGCAGAATTCAAAACGATCTTGACAGATTAGAGAGATGAGGCCAAAACTAACAAAATGAAGTTCAACAGGGACAAATGCAAGATACTCCACTTTGGCAGGAAAAACAAAATGCAAAGATACAGAATGGGGGATAATGCCTGGCTCGAGAGCAGTACGTGTGAAAAAGGAGTCCTCTTGGGCAGCAAGTTAAACATGAGCCAACAATGTGATGCGGTGGCAAAAAAAGCCAATGGGATTTTGGCCTGCATAAATAGGAGCCTCGTGCCTAGATCCAGGGAAGTCCTGGTCCCCCTCTATTCTATTCTGCCTTGGTCAGACCACGTTACCTAGAATCACACTGTGTCCAATTCTGGGCACTGCAATTGAAGGGAGATGTTGACAAGCTGGAATGTGTCCAGAGGGGACATTGTAGCATTTTATCTACAGGAAGCAACTTTTTCTGTGCAAGAAATTATCTTTCTGTATTATTTTCTGCACAGAAAAGGCAGAACGTGTTTTTTCGCTTGCAAAACAATTACTGTTGCACTTCAGAACTGGAAGCAGCTCCTCTGACTAAAAACACACCACACGTTGAGTGAAGGAGCAATCCTTTTTATTAAAAATTAGCAAAAAAAATCCAGTAGAAATAAATGCTTGTAAAGATAGAAGATTCCAAAAAACAATAAGGCATTCAAAGATAAAACAGTGTCCAAACGTAGCAATCAAAAGCAATGTCCAAAAAACATGAAAATACAATCCAAGGCAATGATTATCCAGACAGGAATCAAACAAGAAGCAAGACCAGACCAGGCGCTGCTAGTCAACTTGAAAGGCTAGAAAAAAAACTCTGAAGACTGTCGTAGCTCAGGATAGATTCACATTGCGCAGAACAACACCACACACCAGGGCTGTAGGTTTTGTAGTTTATTGAAGAAAGATAAAATTAAAAACATAGAAATATGGTTGCTGACGTTCAAAAGTCAAAACAGGATCTTAAATGCAAAGGCAAAGCTTCCAAGGTCCAAAAGCAAATAACATGAATATAATCCACAAGCATGGGTCAAACCAGAATCCATGGCATCATGACAAAGTCCCAGAAACGAAGATCCAAAACCAAAGTCCCAAAGAGCTAACAGCTTTACCCTTAAAGCCGAGGAGATTTCAAGGAAGTTCACAGGGTGTGAGCGAAGTTACTCTGACAAAGAGTTGCCTTCAAACAGATCATTAAATATGCTTTGCTAGCATGAAAGCATTATGTTGCCCTCAAACTTCCCACTTGTTTGCAAGCCAAGAGCTTCAGCGTAACCTTAATTGCAAACGGTCCTCCCTAAGCAGATCCTCATTACTTTCAAGGCCAGATCCCTCATTATCTTGTGACTGACCTGCCTGAGAATTGATAGGCACTGAGTTCACAGAAGGAATGGTCAACTCCTCCACCTGCAGCTATGAATCCAAATCATGACTGTCTTCGAAAACAACATTCATTTTCCTGGGAAACTGAGCTGCTTCAAAATCAACACTGTCTGCCTCAACAACAGGGACATATGCAGAAATCTGTAACCCATCATCCTCCTCGTCCTGAGGAAACCCAGGCTCAGAAAGCCCATGCTCAGGATGAGCCACAACAGAGACCACTTGAACAGGAATTCCATGAGGCTTGCACTTGGTTTCCAAACGATGCCTGATCTGACAAGATTTTCTAAGGGCAAACCTTAAATCCCAAAAACTGGTTTCGTTTTCCTCCAGTCTTTGACCTTAACTGACGAATTCATAGAATCATAGAATCAAAGAGTTGGAAGAGACCTCATGGGCCATCCAGTCCAACCCCCTGCCAAGAAGCAGGAATATTGCATTCAAATCACCCCTGACAAATGGCCATCCAGCCTCTGTTTAAAAGCTTCCAAAGAAGGAGCCTCCACCACACTCCGGGGCAGAGAGTTCCACTGCTGAACGGCTCTCACAGTCAGGAAGTTCTTCCTCATGTTCAGATGGAATCTCCTCTCTTTTAATTCGAAGCCATTGTTCCATGTCCTAGTCTCCAGGGAAGCCGAAAACAAGCTTGCTCCCTCCTCCCTGTGGCTTCCTCTCACATATTTATACATGGCTATCATGTCTCCTCTCAGCCTTCTCTTCTGCAGGCTAAACATGCCCAGCTCTTTAAGCCACTCTGCATAGGGCTTGTTCTCCAGATCCTTGATCATTTTAGTCACCCTCCTCTGGACACATTCCAGCTTGTCAACATCTCTCTTTCTACATAAACATTGGGCCTCTTGTCGATTCTGGCTAATCTCCAGCCGCCGACTCTGCTTATCTGACTCCTCATTAACTTTAGCAGGTGTCAGACTGTTTTCCAAACTAGAATCTGGAGAGCTCACAGACGGAGGGAGTAAACCTTTCTCCCAAGGCCTGACAGAAGCATTCTCATGAGAATCTGCCCTTTGCACCGAAAGCCTCTCTGTCAGTGTCTGCATGAAACTCATTGACCAAAGTGTCTCCATCTTGCACCTCAGAGTCAGTCCCAGCATCCCCCACATCAGAAGCAACAGGGGACTGATTTCCCTCCTCATTACCCACATCAGACACAGAAACATCAGGAGACTGAAACACAATCACAGGTTCAGGTTCAATCACAGGCTGAGTCCCAACAATCACATGCCAAGTGCCATGTCGCAAAAATTCTCATTGGCCCAGGATCCATCTTATCAAGGTTTTGCAATGAGCAAATTAACAATTTTTTTGCAAACATCTTTGAATATCCTTTGCATTGTTGCATATGATACAACCCCAAAGAAAGCATTCTCAGCCAAGGAAACAATGCACAGTTGGTAGTCAAAGCAGGTTAACGGCTACCATCTGATTTTTACTCTTTCCCTCTCTTCTTCCCAGTGATTACAGGTATGTGGCTGCAGCCCTTGCCGTCATGAGGAATGTGACCCAGCAGATAAATGAGAGGAAACGGAGACTAGAAAACATCGACAAGATTGCTCAGTGGCAGGCCTCAGTTCTGGATTGGGAGGTATGTGCCATTTATGACCTTGCTTGGCATGGTATTACCCCAGAACCAGGGCTTTTGGCATCAGAAAAGGTTAGCACCTTGAATTGATCCTGGAAGCTAAGCAGGGCCAGCCCTGGATAGCACTTGGATCGGAGACTATCAAATAATCCCAAGAGTGATAGTATCTATTCCAAAGGAAGAAAATCACCAAAAACGAAACCATCTCTGTATCTTCCTGACCGAAGAAAACTCTATGAAATGTATGACTTAGAGGCCCTCACACACATGCACAAGACCCTGGATTTTGTCTGATCTGGAAAGTTAGACAGGTTCAGCCCTGGTTAGTACTTGGATGGGGGAACACCAATAGATTCCAAGCATGGCATGTCAGAAATATTAAAAAATTAGCTAGGTATTTTTAATTACAAAAATGTGAGTCAAGCACTGAAATGTTTAAATGGATATATATATATATATATATATATATATATATATATATATATAAGCAGAACTAAGTGTTAGTTGCCCTCAGTCTGAGGAAGCCCTCAGTATGAAGAGGCTTCAGTCTGGGAGAGGCTTCAGTGTGAGCTAAACTTCAGTGTTAATAGGCCTCAGTGTGAGGTAGGCCTCAATGTGTGAGGATGACCTGGTGTAAAAGCAGAACTATAGTTTAGTTACCCTCAGTCTGAGCGAGCCCTCAGTATGAAGAGGCTTCAGTCTGAGAGAGGCTTCAGTCTGAGAGAGGCCTCAGTCTGAGAGAGGCTTCAGTCTGGGAGAGGCTTCAGTGTGAGGTAGGCCTCAGAGTTAGTAGGCCTCAGTGTGGAGGCCTGGTGTAGAAAGGCCTGGTGTGAGAAGGCTTCTGTGAGAGAAGCCCCAGGTTGAAGATCTCATGTGTAAAGCTCCAGTGAGAAAGCTGGTATGTGTAAAAAGCTCCTGTGTGAAGCTCCTGTGTAAGCTTACTGTGAGAGGAAGCCCAGTGGCAGTGAAGCTGTTTATCTGCATGAGAAAGAAGCCCTGTGTGGAAGCAAAGAAGGAAGTATAAAGAACTTTTATTTTGTGGGTTGTTGTGGTTTTTTTCGGGCTATATGGCCATGTTCTAGAGGCATTCTCTCCTGACATTTTGCCTGCATCTATGGCAAGCATCCTTAGAGATTGTGAGGTGTTGTGAGGTCATTAGGAAGAACTTCCTGACTGTGAGAGCCGTTCAGCAGTGGAACTCTTTGCTGTGTGTGTGGTGGAGGCTCCTTCTTTGGAGATTTTTAAACAGAGGCTGGATGGCCATCTGTCGGGGGTGGTTTGAATGCAATTTTCCTACTTCTTGGAAGGGGGTTGGACTGGATGGCCCATGAGGTCTCTTCCAACTCTATGATTTTATGAGTCTAATTATGCCACACGGTTATTGAAAATGAAAAAAAAATCTGTTAAGAGACAATTTGTGGGAAGTAGTGGAGAATCCCCCAGATAAAGAAGGAGAAGGAGAAGAAGAGAAATTGAGGGCAGATCAGCGTGCCAAGGCTTCTATCGTATTGGCATTAGAGGACAGTCAACTGCCATATGTAAGGAATGCCCAAGCAACAGCTGAGTGTTGGCAAAGCCTAAAGGAAATTTACCTGAGCCAGTCAGCAGGCATGAAAGTTTTGATGACTTGGAAGCTATACCATTTCTATTACATTTTAGAGCAGTGTTTCTCAACCTGGGGGTCGGGACCTCTGGGGGGGGGGGTCTTGAGGGGGTGTCAGAGGGGTCGCCAAAGACCATCAGTATTTTTTGTTGGTCATGGGGGTTCTGTGTGGGATGTTTGGCCCAATTTTATCATTGGTGGGGTTCAGAATGCTCTTTGATTGGAGGTGAACTATAAATCCAAGGAACTACAACTCCCAAATGTCAAGTCTCTTTTCCCCAAACTCCACAAGTGTTCACATTATTTATTTATTTATTTATTTATTTATTATTTGAACTTATATGCCGCCACTCCCCTGGGGCTCGGAGCGGCTTACAAGAACAGGCTAAAATCGAACACAATTTAAAAGCAATTTAAAACAATATCAAACATTAAAAGCCTGTTGAAACAGGTATGTCTTACACGCCCTGCGGAAAGCTGGTAAGTCCCACAAGGCACGGACTTCAGTTGGCAGAGTATTCCAGAGTGATGGTGCCACTGCTGTGAAGGCTCTGCGTCTGGTTGCTGTTAGACGCAAGGTCTTGACACTGGGAATTTCCAACAAATCTTGGTCCTCAGAACGGAGGGATCTCTGGGGTTGGGAGGGGGTGAGGCGGTCCCTCAGGTACATCGGCCCCAGACCATGCAAGGCCTTAAAGGTGAGTACCATCCCTTTGAAAGTGATCCAGTGCTCAATTGGTAACCAATGCAGCTGTAGTAAGATTGGGGTGATGTGGCATCTCATCGGAATTCCCGCAAGAAGCTGAGCAACTTGAGCTTCCGGATCACCGACAGAGGAAGGTCAATATAGAGGGCGTTACAGTAGTCCAGTCTTCAGATGACCGTGGCCTGGATCACCGTAGCTAGGTCATCCCTGGACAGGGAGGGGGCCAGCCGTCTAGCCTGCCGCAGGTGAAAGAAGGCGGTTCTGCTCACGGTGGAGACCTGGGCCTCCATCCTCAGCAGAGGGTCCAAAAGGACTCCCAGACTCTTGACCATCCATCGTCAGCAGAGGGTCCAGCTGGATATCCCCACTGCCCGGTCGACCCAGCCATAGGATCTCCGTCTTTGCTGGATTCACCCTCAACCTGCTGGCACGCAGCCATCCAGTAACGGCCTCGAGGCACTGATGGAAACAATCGGGTACAGAGTCCGGTTGGCCTTCCATCTTCAGCACCAGCTGAGTATTGAGCATTCATGCCAATTTTGATCCAGATCCATATTGTTCTTTGAATGTAGGCAGGGGCGGCTCAACCCATTACGCAAAGTAAGCATTTGAAGTATAGTTGATGTTGCCCAGGGGCGCTCTTGAGGCACTCTTGAGGGGAAAATAGACCTTGACATATGTGAGTTGTAGTTACTGGGATGTATAGTTCACATTCTGAACTCCACCAATGATGGAATTTGACCAAATATGGCACACAGAACTCCCTCGAAGAACAGAAAATATATATCAGTGATTGTTGGGGGCGGGGGGGGGGGGGGCAAAATACTGTAGGAGCCCCCAGTGGCGCCGTGGGTTAAAGCACTGAGTTGCTGAGCTTGTTGATCGAAAGGTCGCAGGTTCGATTCCGGGGAGCGGCGTGAGCTTCCGCTGTCAGCCCTAGCTTCTGCCAACCAGCAGTTCGAAAACATGCAAATGTGAGTAGATCAATAGGTACCGCTCCGGCGGGAAGGTAACGGCGCTCCATGCAGTCATGCCGGCCACATGACCTTGGAGGTGTCTACGGACAACGCTGGCTCTTCGGCTTAGAAATGGAGATGAGCACCACACCCCAGAGTCAGACATGACTGGACTTAATGTCAGGGGACTACCTATACCTTACCGTTGAAAATTACCTAGAGCCGCCTCCGGCATCACGGCACACTTTGCCCCATCCTCGGTATTGGTAGGAGTGGAATTGATTTTTTTTTCCTCCAAAGAGAAATAGAAAACCCAAAGAATTTGTCTTCCGGCCAACAATGGCCAGGAAGGAGAGAGTAAAAAACCAGGTGGCCAATGCATGAGTTTTGGAGCAGTTGCCCGAGGCCTGATGATGGATTATTGCTTATGGAAGGAAATGGATGCCAAGCGGGTGGCAGTTTATTGCAGTTGGCTTCCTCCCACGATTTGCTGTGTCCGCTGCATGTGGAACGAGCCCTCTGCAAATGTGCCCAGATGAAGAAGCGTGTCGTCTCCAAGACGCTTAATATTCACTTGGAGATGGAAGCACAAGGTGACCTTTGCCTCAGATCGATAACTATTTTTATCCCGCCACCATTAATACCTGGAAGCAGTCAAAAAAATTTTTTTTTAGCAAAGCAGGACTATCAGCCAATTCTTATCTCTTTGCCTTTTTCCCCTTTAATTTTCAAATTATTAGGGAGACCACTTCAGGAGAAATTGTATTTTTTAAATGCAGCAACACTACATCCACGGGATTCCCGGCATTTACCCAGCTTGTAACTCTATTGAAAATAGAGATCAGATTAGAATAATAGAATCCTAGAGTTGGAAGAGACCTCGTGGACCATCCAGCCAACCCCTTTCTGCCAAGAAGGTGGAAAATTGCATTCAAAGCACCCCTGATAGATGGCCATCCAGCCTCTGCTTAAAAGTCTCTGGAGAAGGCGCCTCCACCACACTCCAGGGCAGAGAGTTCCACTGCTGAACGGCTTTCACAGTCAGGAAGTTCTTCCTAATGTTCAGATGGAATCTCCTCTCTTGTACTTTGAAGCCATTGTTCTGTGTCCTAGTCTCCAGGGAAATAGAAAACAAGCTTGCTCCCTCCTCCCTGTGGCTCCCTCTCACTTATTTATACATAGAATCATAGAATCAAAGAGTTGGAAGAGACTTCATGGGCCATCCAGTCCAACCCCATTCTGCCAAGAAGCAGGAATATTGCATTCAAATCACCCCTGACAGATGGCCATCCAGCCTCTGTTTCAAAGCTTCCAAAGAAGGAGCCTCCACCACACTCCGGGGCAGAGAGTTCCACTGCTGAACGGCTCTCACAGTCAGGAAGTTCTTCCTCATGTTCAGATGGGATCTCCTCTCTTGTAGTTTGAAGCCATGGCTCCATTGCCTCCTAGTCTCCAGGGAAGCAGAAAACAATCTTGCTCCCTCCTCTCTATGATTTCCTCTCACTTATTTATACATGGCTAGCCTTCTCTTCTTCAGGCTAAACATGCCCAGCTCTTTAAGCCGCTCCTCATAGGGCTTGTCCTCATAGGGCTTGTCCTCCAGACACATATACACAGACTGGGACACAGCAACGCATGGCAGGGGACAGCTAGTAGATATATGAACCCCATTTTCCTAGTTTCCAACACACCTCACAACCTCTGAGGATGCCTGCCATAAAGGCAGGTGAAACGTTGG